CAGAATTTTTTAGAAAACACTTCTACTAACCTTAAGGCTTTCTTTCAGACCCAGATCCCCTTACACATTGATCAGATGTAGCAAGTTTGCTTCAAGTTTTTGGAACTGGTTTCCACTTTAGGCTACTGAAGGTCCCATATCCCCAAAAGACTATCCCTTCGTCTCCTCAGCCCCCCGTTTAAAGATTACACACTGCAGTCGGGTGGGTGCCAGATGAGGAAAGCGGAAGACGCGGATTCCCTCCCGCGCAGTCTCAGGGCCAGTGGGAAGGAGGGTCCTGCCGAATTGCCTGGGCCACCCCCCAGCTTTGGCTTCAGGACTGCAGAAGCCTCTCCCGCATGAGGCTGCATCCAGGAGAGAGGGACTAAGGGGCTTCGTTTAGAACTAGGGGCAGGGGCTGAGTGTTGGGCCTGTCAGTGCGTAGGTGAGTGTTGACATACATCACTTCACACACCTGATGAAGGAAAGAGGCGACAGGCTCGGGACCTAAGTGGGTGGAGAGACACTTTGTCTCCCTTTCAGATGGGCCCGGGCTACTACGAGTCTACATTTCAGTTGTCCAGTTTGAATTAGCAAATAATGAAGTCACACAAGCAGAAGCTGCTGCTCGTGATTATAAGACCCTTAGAACTATCCCGCTGGACTTCAGAGGACAATAAGCCTGGCTCCCCTCTCTCTCGGGTCTTCCTTCATCTCTGTCACGGGATATTGGCCTGCGCATGTTGAAACTGTGAAAAGCGTTGAGTCCATGAGAAGTACCAGCTTGATAAACGAAGTCTGCGTGATGCCTCCCGAGGGTCTGTGTGAAAAGTAAACTTGCGGCCGGGCGCAGTGGCTCACGCCTGTAACCCCAGCACTTTGGGAGGCTGAGGCAGGTGGATCCCCTGAGGTAGGGAGCTTGAGACCCGCCTGACCAATGTGGAGAAACCCTGACTCTACTAGGAATACACAATTAGCCGGGCGTGGTGGCTCATGCCTGTAATCCCAGCTACTCTGAGGCAGCAGAATTGCTTGAACCCGGGTGGCTGAAGTTGTGGTGAGCCCAGATTGCGCCATTGCACTCCAGCCTGGGCAACAAGAGCGAAACTCCGTCTCGAAACAAAAATGTAAACTTGCTGCCTGTGAGGGGAATTGGGATCTGCTCCCGTAAAATGGGAGGGGGGACCTGGGGGCTCTTCTTGCCCTTAACGGCAAGCAATTGCCCGTCCTCTGGGTTCCTTCCACCCCTGCAGCCTGCTGGAACCTGCTGTGGCAGCAGCATCTCGTGCGGCCGCTGAGTGCTGGGTTGTTCCATCCACAGCAAGGTGGGCCATGCTGGTCAGGGCTCCACGGAAAAAGCACAAATAAATCAAACACCAGCTCCTACTTCAGATCTGATGAAATTCTCCATTTCCGCTCCAAATTGAATTCCTCCCGAAGGATGGGAGCAGCTCCTGGGAGTAATGAAGGCTCCTTCCTCCTCTGCTAGAAACATGTTTTAGATTAACAGACGCAGCCTTCTAATCTGGGTGGGTAGGTAGCGTTCAGGGACAGCCTTGAGAAAGTGTTTTCAGACCAGACACGATATTTTTAATCTCGAGGGGCAAGGCGGCAGACGCGCAACACGCTCGGCCTCTGTGGCGGAGGCGGCCCCAGAGGTGGTCTCCTGGGGAAGAGTGACAACGTGGGAGTGTGGCTGCAAGCCACAAGCCACCCCTCCTGCCACGTCCTCTCCTCCACCACTTGGAGCCAAGAAGAATCTATGGTGGGGAATAGAAGCGAGACGGCTTGTGCTTTTTGAGATTTGAAATATCACTTTCCTTCCCATCTCTTATTTGGGAAAAATAGTACACTCTGTGATTTAAAAAAAAAAACATGAAAGAAATGTTTTTAGGATGAAGATGTCATTGAAGTGATTATCTTCCATTCTCTGTAATGGTGATGAATCGACAGTCTGGCATTTGTAGAGGCATCTGACACCGACTCTTTCAGGGGGAAAAAAAGAAACAATTTTCCAGTGAACCCTGTCAGGGGGAAGACTGATCACCGGCAGGCCGGCTCGGACCCTGAGCACAGTTCCAAGAAGGCAGGGATGAGGAGGAGCCGGGCTGGGTGCAGGGATGAGGAGGAGCCGGGCTGGGTGCAGGGATGAGGAGGAGCCGGGCTGGGTGCAGGGATGAGGAGGAGCCGGGCTGGGTGCAGGGATGAGGAGGAGCCAGGCTGGAGTGCAGGGATGAGGAGGAGCCGGAGCTGGGTGCAGGGATGAGGAGGAGCCGGGCTGGGTGGGGATGAGGGAGGAGCCGGGCTGGGCTGGTGAGTCGAGGCTGAGGAGGAGCCGGGCTGGGTGCAGGGATGAGGAGGAGCCGGGCTGGGCTGGTGAGTCGAGGCTGAGGTAGGAGTGCAGTGTTCTACAGGTCCATTCTGTTTCGAGGGTGGACATGAGATAGATTATCTGTTGAGAAAGAAATACTTAACATTATTCCTTGAAGTGAGCTAAAGAAAATTACTTTTCTTCACTCACCGTTGAAAAAAAAGCAGAGTCTAAAAAAAGATAAGAGGTTAAATCTACTTAACACGAGAAATTCAGACATTTAGGATCCGAGGGAGGGAAGGAAATTCTCCTTGAGAGAATATTCTGTTGGTCCTTTTATGTCAGAATTTTGTCAGCAGCCTCTAAGAAAGGTTATCAAAACCTCATCCACATGTTTGGTTTCCATTTAAAAAGAAGCCGTTTCCTTCATGGGGAAATAGCCCCAGAGTATCCAGTAAGTCAGACCCAACCTCAGAGGCCACACGGGCCCGGGAGGCTTTTGGGTCAGGGTCCCAGCTGGAAAATTGCTTTTCAGGGAGAAGGTCCTGTTTTCCACAGAGTGGTCATTTCTACGGTTAACGCCCTTCCTCCTGCGCGGAGGGTTGGGGACGTTCAGGCGTGGCCTCCCTCAGAGGACAGTGGGAAGTGCATTTTCCCCGACTCCAAAGAAAGGACTGAAGATGGCAAAGGGGACGTTTAGGTGGAATTCTGGCAACGCCGGGGCCTGTCCCAAGGCCAACAGGATGGACCGAGGCCAGGGTGGAGTCTCCAGAACACTGAAGGGTGGGGAGGGAAGTCTGGTGCAGACGGCAAGGACTGCTCAAGGGGGAAATGAAAGGGTGGGAGAAAGAAGTGCCACCCCCACACGGCTGCTGCTGTGCCTGCCTTCAGCCTTTTATGTTTGCGTAAACGGGCCCTGGTGAGGCTTCCACGCTGGCACAGAAGCGCGGGCAGGTCCCCGGACAGCGGAGGCTTTTTCTCCATGAAGTCTCAGAGCGATTTCGCAGTCGTCCGCTCCCAGAAGCTTCCTGGCCGGGGTCCGCCCTCCAGTCTCGGGAAGGACGCACGTCTGTCTCTCTGGCCGCAGACCCTGCCCACGCAGGCTTGCCCTCCAGCCTGTTTATAAGGCCTGAAGTTACTTCTGTTTTGTTTTAGCCCAAAGGGTGAACTGCTGCCAGCAGTATGTCTGGAATGTTATTTACTTGGTACATTTCTGTGGCTTTTCTTTGTAGCATTGCACATGCCAGAGCCATTTACTTGAAAATGCCGGGTGCACAGTTTGTCTTCTCGACGGGGTGACTTTCTCAGTTAAGGGAGTTTAGTTCCTGTGTCTCTCAGTTTCTTCCTTCCTTCCTTGTTTTTTTCCCCCGAGTTAGTGCTCTGAGCAATACTGTTGGTGCCTGTTGCATCGCCCCCCTTTGTCCTGAGTGCCCCAACTCCACTTGTAATTTCTGGGGTTTCTGGTGTCCTCTTCAGAGCGCCTGGCAGACGCTTTTTCATTTGCATGCCTGCCCTGTTATTACTTCACATGAAAGCTGTCTGTTTTGGCAGACGTGACCGTCGTGATTGCAGCTGAGCTCTGAGCTGAATGGCTGATGTTGTGTAAGGGAGCTCGAGGTGGGGTTTTCTCCGGTGGTGGCCGTGGGAGTGGAAGAAAAACCTGCGAGCCGTCTTGGCTTGTGCCGAGCTGACATGATGGCAAACAAATGACTTTTCAAGGGAGGAACCGGTGTGTACAGTCTCCCAATTTGGAAGGTTTCGCAACTGTTTTTGTTCAACTGAAGGAGGAGAGAGTTTGTAAGGGCAAATTCTTCATTAGGAGGACTGTAAACAAGTCCTGGAAAAAGGATAATTGCTGAAGGAGGAGGCATGGAAGGTATTTGACGGGCCTCTTTCGTCAGCTCCCCTTTTTCCCATTTCATCTATGCAGTTTTAATGGTGGTATTTTGGGTTTTAACACAAGGTATGGAAAATGAGATTAGCTAAATCTCCCTGTCTGGTGCCAGTCCTGGGGCCGTTGGCACACCTGGGTGGGATAACTCCCTGCTTGCTTTCTCTCTCTTAGCATGCTTTTGTTCTGTCATGTGAGTCCATAAGCGCTTGCAGATACGACGGAAAAGCTTGGCCTTACACAGGCTCGGCCTTTATTCGGGCCTCCTGGAACCCTCGGCCCTCCCCAGCAGCTGCCGGTGTGTTCGCATCAGAGCCGACCCCTGTGCAGAATGGAACGTTTTTGCTCCGTTCTTCTCGGCTTTTTCTGTCCTTCTGTGTGACTTCTCAATTTGTTTGTAAGCTGCTCATTTTTGGCTGAAGGGTCTTCTTTGATCTCTCTCCTGACGGCATAAGCTTCACACGGTCACACCTGCTCTTCTTTTACAGTCCAGGTTTCAGAGGAAATGCTTCCACTGCCTTGTAATTTTTTTTTTTTTTTTTTGAGTGTAAAACTTTGGTGCAGGTTACTTATTACAGGTAATAGCCGTTTGATGAGGGAGAAAACTGCTTGGCAGAAACGGCCACCTGAACTGCGGCCAGAAACCTAAACTGCCACTTTATTTATGTCTGAAAGCATCTAAGCCACAAGCCTCTCAGTCATGATCTAGCAGGCACATGATAATAACAGGCTCGCCAGGCTGGGAAAGCTGCCCCATGGGATGGCCGGGAGGACAGGCTCTAACAAGACTCTGTGCATTTTCTCCCCCATTCTCCACAGCCCACACATCATGTTCCTCTCTCAGAGCACCTTGACAGGAGGGAGCCATCTCTGTGGGACCCGCCTCTGCCACGAAATCGCCCACGCCTGGTTTGGCCTGGCCCTCGGGGCCCGCGACTGGACGGAGGAGTGGCTGAGCGAAGGCTTCGCCTCTCACTTGGAGGATGTGTTTTGGGCTGCAGCACAGCAGGTGGGTTAAGGTGACCCTAAGCCTCTCACTCCCCAGAGTCAAATTCCATTTCTGGTCATTTGCTCACCCAACAGCTGTGGACTGAGGGCCTACTGTGCGCTAGGCACAGACGTCGCTGGGGAGATGGCTGCGTAAACAAGAGAGGGAAGCCCCTGCCCCCCACAGGCTGTGAATTCTAGAGGTGGGAGAGAGTAGACAAGTGGATCAGCAGTGGGTCCAGTGTGGGAGGCCAGTCGTCTCTTTCTGTGAAGAGAAATGAGCCCCAGAGAGGGGCAGCGGGTCCTCTTTTAGAAGCAGTAAGCGAAGGCCGCTCTGATAAGGAGATATTTGAGCAGAGATGTGAAGAAAGGTCATGCTGTGGCATACTCAAGCACTTCTTTGTGGTTGTGATTGTGGTGACATGTGTGTGCGTTGTGTGTGTGTGTGTGTTTTAAATAAAGAGATTAAAATGTAAATCCAGAATCATCTCCGATGTGTGCTCACAAGTAATAAATGAAGAATGAAGCAGGGGTGGTATAGATGAGGGAATGGTGAGGACTGTGGCAAACTGACAGCTGCTACTCAGCTCTAACCAGTTGTCATGGTGAAGGGAGGAGGGCTCAATATAACCTACACTATTAGTTTTTTAAGGTAATTTATAATTCTGGACTTTAATGTGAAGTTTACTAATTTAAAAAATACCATGCAAGACAGACATACCCGAAGCCAAACCTGGTGCACACGCTCCCAGTTTGCAACCTCTACCTTAAAGCATTGGCCGTCAGTTCTAGTGAGGATAACAAGCAGCTGAACTGCCTTGTGCTTACTTTCAAGTTCCTAATTTATTTATTTATTTTATTTTATTTTATTTTATTTTATTTTATTTATTTTTTTAGACAGAGTCTTGCTCTGTCGCCCAGGCTGGAGTGCAGTGGCACGATCTTGGCTCACTGCAACCTCCACCTCCTGGGTTCAAGCGATTCTTCTGCCTCAGCCTCCTGAGTAGCTGGGATGACAGGCACATGCCACCACACCTGGCTAATTTTTGTATTTTTAGTAGAGACAGAGTTTCACCATATTGGCCAGGATGGTCTCAAACTCCTGACCTCGTGATCTGCCCACCTTGGCCTCCCAAAGTGCTGGGATTACAGGTGTGAGTCACCGTGTTCAGCCTCAACTTCCTAATATGCGGGTCACTCTTTTTCCCCTGTCATCCTTGTCCCTTAGACACTGTGCTATTTGGCATTTTCCAAAATTCCCAGGTTTGTGCATACCTGCATGATATTGTTCAAGGTCCTTTGTCTGTTGAAATCTTATTTATTTTTCACTAACCAGCTGGAGGTCACCTTCTCTAGATAGCCCAGACTGATTACCTGACTCGCAATTCAGCACTGCCCTCCTATACACTGTGGGTTCTCACGATACGTGGTACTTACCTTTTTAAACTTATTGTTCTGTTTTCTTTTCCTCCTACTATGTCATTTCCTTATCCTCATGCCTGGACAATGACTGCTTCAAATTGGAGCTGGGTCTTGCTTTTCTTACCCTGGCCACGGACCCAGCAGTGTTCCCATCAGTGTCCGCTGCCACATGGAGTCCTGTGAGGAGAGGCCACACGATAGACACAGAACAGGCTCTGGGCTCCGAGTCAGAAAGACTGACTTCCGGTCCTGGCTCTGCCGTTCACCGGCTCTGTGAGTGTAGGTCGGTTAGGTAGCCTCCCCAAACCTCCGTTTCCCCATTTGTAGAATGGATATTAGAATGCCGAAGCTTGCAGGGTGAATGGGATCAGGTGTGAATGAGCTTAGCACAGTGCCCAACACATGGAGAGTGTGCAAGAAATACCTGTTCCCTTCCTCTTTGTGTTTCCCTCCGCCTTGCACACAGGCACTCAGCAGGGGTTTAATGTGAATGTACCTCTATCACCATCTCTTCCCTGGAGTGCCTCCCTTCTGAGATGATCCCATCTGAGCTGGTCCTGGAGTTGTCATGCGTTCCAGGCGTCTGATCATGACACCTCCGGCTTTGATCTCCTGCATCCCCAGAGTGCTCCTCCTTAGCCTTCCCTCTGCCTAGACTTCTAGAAGGCCACTCCTTAGTCTGCTGGCTTGGTCCTGCCTCTTGACTGATAAGTTTGCAAAGAGAAGTAAACACCAAGTATCGTCAGAATTCCGAGGTAGGAGAGGACAGGCCTGGGTGGGCCCAGAAAGCCTTTGTGGAGGCGGTGGCTTCTGTTGTGAGCCCAAAGGGACAGCAGGAGCTGAGCTTTCTCTGTTGCTCCTTTCCCTTAACATGATAGGGGTCAGCCCCTCATCATCCTTGGAGGTACGTGCAGTAACTCTTCAAGATGCGAAAACATGAACACCCCTGAGGCAAAATGGCCGTTCTAGATTCCAGCACAAAGTTTGAAACGTTTCCAGAGCACGTCCGCCAGGCTGACCTCTCCCTTCAGTGGCGAGACTGAGTTGTTGCTGGCCCTGGCGAGTGCCTGCCTCAGGCCATCCAGGGAGTGGGGGAGCACCCTGTGGGGCAGGGGTGGGTGTGCCACCTCCCGGGCTGCTCTTGGCCAGCAGGCCCCACCAGAGATCAGGGATGAGGACACAGGGTGACGGGGTCACCAGGGTCACCTCGCTGCCTGGGGGACTGTGCCCTGTAGCACCGAGCAGTAGGAAGCCTGGTGGGGCTGGGGGTGGGGTGCGGGGACGTGTGAAATCCCAGGGAGATGGAGACCACCATTCACTCAGAGAGGCATCCGCAGGGATCTGTGAATTGAGTCAGTCGCAAGGTTGGATGGTGTAGCTTGTCATCAACCTGGAGAAAGTCTAAATGCCTTCACAGGCATAGTAGTGTGCTCGGGCTGCCATAAGAAATCCCAGAGACTGGGTGACTTAAGCAACAGACGTTTATTTCTCACGGTTCTGGAGGCTGGAAGTCCAAGACCAAGGTGCCAACAGGGTTGGTTTTTGGTGAGGTCCCTCACTCTTCCTCGCTTGCAGACAGCCACAAGCTGCTTTTTCTCTGCGTTCTCACACGGCCTTTCCTCTGTGCATGCAGAGAGAAAGAACACTGTTAGCTCCTCCTCTTCCTAGAAGAACACCAGCCCTGCAGGATTAGGGCCCCACTCATGACTTACTTAACCTTAATGACCTCCTTGAAGGCCCTGTCTCCAAATACAGTCACACCGGGGTGAGGCCTTCAACACGTGTATTTTGCGGAGACGCAGTTTAGTCCATAACAGCAGGCACGTGGGGTCTGAGGATCATCCGGCCTCGGCCAGCTTCCCTGCGCCTCACTCCCTCCCAGAACGGTCGTCTGCTCTGGGTCTGATGGACGCCTTGCCGTTCTGTAAGCACATCACACCCTTGCCTGGCCCGACGTGCCTTGCAAGTGCTTTCCCTCTTCCTGAAATCCCTCCTCCCCGGCTGACTCCTGCTTCCCTGAGCACCAGCACTGCCACCACCCCCTCCTCGGGAAGCCCTGGTGGGCAAGGGGGCATCTGGGTTCCCCCGTCACCTGCTCTCTGATGTTAGTTTTCCTGCCATCTCTCCCCTGGCTGCTCCCTCAGGCCCTGTCTATATTGTCCCCAGGGCCTGGCAGAGACTCAGTAAATATCTGTTGAAGGAATTATCAGGAACGTTTGATTTCCAGAAACACCTGTGGATAGACGTCTTCCCTCCCCAGTGGGTGCTCTGCTGCCCGCCCTCCCTCACCGAGGTGCGGGCCGTGTGGCCCAGTGAGCACACCATGGAACGGCAGCGGGTTCTGGCTCAGTCGGGCAGTGTGATGGCCTCCCCTCCCCCAGAGTCAGTCCAGGCAGCACTTGTAGTTACGTGCACACAGAGCCATCTGGGTTGCATTAGCAGGCCCCGCTGGAAACAGTCCTTAACAAAATTGAGGGCTGGGGAACACCGGAGGGGAACGGTGGGGCCTTCCCTCCTGTGCAGAAAGACAAAGCGGGAAAAGAGGACAGATCCAAGTGGAAATGGCTGCAAGGGAAGCCCACGCTGTCCAGACCAGGTGTGTGTTGGTGGGTTCCCGAACCAGGCAACCTCCGCCGAACAGCAGGCCCGGCTCCACTGCCACAGCACAAGCGAGTGTGCGCGGTTGGTTGGTTGTTTCAGGCACTAAGAGGCTCCGGTGGCCTTTAGGGTTCTGATGGAAGCAAGGTGAGAGCAGGGGGCAGGCTATGTTGTCCCCCATTGAAACCAAGCGAGCCATTTCACCAGGACCACACCAGTGACGGTGTTTTGTGCATGTGTGTCTGTGTCTGTGTCTGAGCAGCTGGCCCCCCACGAGGCCCGGGAGCAGCAGGAACTGAGGGCCTGCCTGCGCTGGCGTCGCCTCCAGGATGAGATGCAGAGCTCCCCCGAGGAGATGCAGGTGTTAAGGTAAAACTGCATTGTGATCCGCAGCCCTCTCGTTCCTTCTTTCCTTCCAGACATCTCCCTGCCACTGATGACATCTGCTGGGTTTCCTTTTTCAATTAAGCCGGGCGGGCTTCTCGTCCCCCCAGATGGGACGGTTATGATCTAAGTCTTTCAGGGTGTGTGTTTTGATTTGCCTTCCGACATTTTCCTGGTGACTGTTTAGGGAAAAAATAGCATGAGGCCATTTCCGGGGGTCAGATCCTTCGCTTGAAGTTCTAATAGTCACTTTATGTGGTGGCTGTGGACGTGGCGAGGGCTGGGGTTTGGCAGACAGTAACCCTGTAAAGCCAAAGGGGAAAAAAATCTTTAGGAAAATATTGATTCCTAAGTGTTTAGTGGTCACAGATGTGTGTGTCAATGGGCCCTTTTGTTTCCACCGTAGCCTGGCAGGAAGCCTCTGCTGCCCCCCGTGCAGGAGGATTCCATGGCCAGCTCCTGAGTTTTGTTTGTAGACTGTGGCTTGTGGCATGTGCAGGATTATTTCGTGCCATTTTTCCACGTGTGTCCCTCTCTGCTTTGCTCCTTTTCTTTGTAAAATGGTTATCTGAAACATGGTGCCTAGGCTCTGGGAGCACTGCAGTTGCTGTGGCAACAGAAGCTTCCATCCACCCCTCCTCTGGACTAGAGTCAGATGCTTGGAATCCGCCATCAAACAGGTGGGGGGGTGGCCATCCAGGAACTGCTCCTCTCCTCGCCCCCCCACTTTTTTTTTAAGATGGTGTCTCACTCTGTCACCAGGCTGGAGTGCAGTGGCGGATGTCTGCTCACTCCAACTCCTAAATTCAAGCGATTCTCCTGCCTCAGCCTCCCGAGTAGCTGGGATTACAGGCGCCCACCATCACGCTCAGCTATTTATTTATTTATTTATTTATTTTTGTATTTTTAGTACAGACGAGGTTTCACCATGTTGGCTGGGCTGGTCTTGAACTCCTGACCTCAGATGATCTGCCCACCTCGGCCTCCCAAAGTGCTGGGAGTACCTTCCTGGGCAGAAGCCTGCCTTGGACGGTTCTGCTTTTTGGTTTGTTTTTAAACGAACACCCGCACTTCGCCTGTGACTGAAGCCTAACGCAAATGCACCCCAGGGAGAGAGCTGGCTGGGACTTCTGTGCAGCACTGCAGAACGTCGGGTGTGGCAAGCTGCACCCTTCCCACGGCAAAGTTCCCTGCGCTTGCACGCTAAGGCGGCCTCCCAAGTTGACTCATCCATTGTTTCGGAAAGGCAGATCTAGTGGAGGGAAGTGGAGCGGGCCAGGAGCCAGGAGACCTGTGTTCCCGCCTGAAAGCCACTGTTCCAGCATCTGTTCCCTCGGCCAGTGCTGACTGAGCCAGGCAGGATAGCTGCCCCTATGGCCACTGTGGACACGGCCCCTGCTCTCATGGAGCTTCCACTTAGCAGGGACATCGCTGCATGTACTGGCCGGTCACAGGTGGTGCGCAGCGCTGTGAGCGGACCGCTCGGTGATGTCCATACTGACTGGAGGGTGGCACATCTGGAGGTGGGGGGATTTCTCTCTGAAAATGAGCTGCCTTGCACGTAGCCTGGCTGAGGCAGGAAAAGCCTTAGTGTGCCTTAGGGATAGAAAGAAGGGCAGTGTGGCTGGAAAGGGGACTGAGGGCAGGGGCAAGAGAGGCAGGCAGGAGCCAGGTCACACGAGCCTTTCTCCAGGTTCTCGGAAGCTGCTCTGGGGCCTTCAGCAGGAAAGTGTGTGATCCACTCAGTGTGCAGTGCCGCTGTGTGGAGAGCACCACAGGCAGCCGACGGAAAGCCAGCAGAACGGTTGCAGCCTCGCAGTAGTCCATTCGAGAGGCCCTGGGGTGCCGGTGACAGAAGCAAGACGCAGACCTATTTGAAATGTGTTTTGGCCATGGAACCAGCAGGCCTTGGTTGATTGAATGTGGAGAAGAGGAAAATGAATGTATCCAGAATGACTTCGAGTTTTTTTGAGTTGAAAGTTGGGTAGATGGTGATCCCATTTATATGATGGTAAAGACGTGGGGAGGAGCGCGGAAGGAAAGTGAAGTTTCCAGCTTTGCGTGTGTTAAGTTTGTGATGACCAACAGATATTCAGTAGGACGAACTTGGGAGACTGCAAGTCAGGAGCTCACTGGAGAGGCTGGAACATTCAGCCTATAAAATCCCTTAAATCCTGAACACAGTGGAACCCCCAGGGAGAGAGGAGAGTGAGAGAAGGGGTCAGGAGGAAGAGGGGGAGCCAGCAGAGGAATCTAGGGAAACCGTTACGAGTTTCCCCAGAGAAAATCAGGGCTCCAGGGCCATGGAGGCCAGAAAAGAAGCTGAGGCAAGCAGGTGGGAGTGGCTGATGTTGGCAGCTGCCTGGGGGAAAGGGGGTGAAAGAGAGAGAAGTGGGACGACATGGGTGGAGAAGGAAGCCAGGCTGAAGTGGACAGGAAGCGGGGCTGGTGACTGCAGGCTCCGCGAGACAGGTTGTGCTGGCCCAGGAAGCAGAACTGGAAAGGCAGGAGAGGGGCATGGCGGCCAGAGAGGTTTGCTTTCCGTAGGGCGCCCAGGAGCGTGCTCACCGACGAGCCGCCTCACTGCGCAGATCCCTTCACCCTCAAAGGCTCGGGCCCTCCACCCGAGAGGTCATCTCCATTCTCCACGTCTCTAAGTCCCTTTGATCCCTTTGGTTCTGCATAACCATAGTCCTTCAGTGGGGGTAGAGGTATCATAATGAAGATGAGTTTTGATGAACTGTGTTTCCAACTTGTAAGCAAGTTAGACCGCACCCTGGAAAGTCGGTTCACACACGAGGAGGGCCTCATCTCTGGCTTTCCTGGAGCCTGAGTCAACACAGCTTCTGATGGCCAAGATCTTTTCCTTTGTGTGTGGAGCTGGGAGAACAATCTAGTATTTTTAGACCTTTGTGCTAGACGGCTTTTTATGGCATTTGCTTTTCTTTGTCTTAGTGTTCAAAAATTTTGTTTGCCTAAATTTAGGCTAACCATGAATTGACTGCATTTGAAAGGCTTATTGCACATCAGTGAGGAAAATACTGTTATCAGATGCACTTACAATGAGGAGGAAATGTGTCCGAACCTGCCCTGAATTATATGGTCTAAGTCTCGTGCACTCCCATCCCCTGGAATTCTCCCTGAAATGGACTCAGAGAACCTGGAAATTATTGAAAGTAAAAGCGAGAACCAGACTTGTAAAAATTTGTTCTCAGATTTTGTTTTCAACGAGACCTTGGGAAAGAAGTCCTTTAAAAACAATCAGAGATGGTATCTTGTTTTTTCTTCCAAGATGCCCCATGGTCTTGAAATGATGGACCAGAACAATGTAAAAGTCTGAGTTTATGTCTCAATAGGTTTCCACATGTTGGCGGACACAGTGGAAACTTCTCTTGAGATCTTTGCCACACTGTTCAACATGTCTGACCAGTCTCCTAAAAATGCTTTCTCCTTGAAGCACTTTCTCCTCCTGGCTTCTGTGTGTCTTACTCTCCTTGAGTTCCCTCTGCCTCTGTGGCCAGTCCTTCCTCACCTCTCTTGCTGGCAGGTTAACAGTCTCCACTTCAATGGCCCAAGGCTCAGAAAGACTGAATAAGATGTCTAACCTCCTCTGGCTGATAAAGAAGAGAACAGGGATTTAAACCCAGGGACTGAAACTCTTCTGTTTCCCTATACCATATTCCTGTCTTTAGGGAACTGAGAGAGCATTTAGTTGCATTTAAAACAAAACAAAACAAAACAGAAACCTGCAGGTATCTTGGGCTCTGGAAGGACATACAGGTCAGGGTGAAATGTATGCTTAGTCCAGGCGTCTTTTGTCTTTTAACACATGAAGCATGTGTCTTATTAGTTTAAAAGATATTGAGAAAAAGGAAAACTCAACATTCTCTTGGTTATAGATAGTGGAGCATTAACAAAGTGAGAAGAGAAAAACTAAAATTTTGTTTGGCAATGATTTATTAATTTCAGTGATTGATAAGAACAGCTTTCCATTTGTGCCTTCCATCCACCCACTAAGTCGCGGTCTCACCAAATGTTTCTGCTTTTCTTTTCTTTTCTTTTTTTTTTTTTGACACAGCCTTGCTCTGTTGCCCAGGCTGGAGTGCAGTGGCGTGATCTCTGCTCATTGCAACCTCTGCCTTCTGGGTTCAAGGGATTCTCCTGCCTCAGCCTCCCAAGTAGCTGGGACTATAGGCAGGTGCCACCACGCCTGGCTCATTTTTGTATTTTTAGTAGAGATGGGGTTTCACCATGTTGGCCAGGCTGGTCTCGAACTCCTGACCTCAGGTGATCCACCTGCCTCGGCCTCCCAAAGTGCTGGGATGACAGGCGTGAGCCACTGTGTCCGGCCCAGATGTTTCTTAGATTGACTTTGTTGTGCTTCCTTTGCATCAGATGTGTCTGAGATTGACTTGCTTGTAAGTCATTCGTTACAGGTTTCTTGTGTTTTCCTGGCCTTCTCAGCCTTCATTGGCTGGAGAGCCTGTAATGTGGCTACAGGCTTCTGAGGCAAGACGATTTGCTCAGTTTCGAAATGTCAGGGATCACATGCCACTTTTCGTTTGTTAATTATTGAAGATGTCTTTTCCACACGAGACCCCAAGGACTCTCCCAGACTCTTCCTCTCCTCTCTGGCCCTGAGCAGAACTCTTCCCCAGGCAAAGTCTGCTTTCAGTGTTCCTTTCTGCCCTGCCACTGCTCAGCTCTCTCCTGTCATCCGTCCCCTGCCTACAAGGTCCCCTCCTGACCTGTGCAGCGGTGGCGGCTCTAGCTGGAGATGCACAGGGCTTCTGAAAGGCCTGCCATGCCTCCTGTCTGCAGGGTGCAGCTGGATTCCGGCAGCTTCTCCTAAGTGCTTTCAGTCAGCACACTGTGACAGGCCCCAGGGATGGAAGAGCTAAGGTGGCAGGGTCAGAAGAAATCTCTGTTGGTTTTTATCGTTTGTGATTTATTATGTCTTCCCTTTTTTTCTGGATTCATTGTTA